TTCCTAAATAATGTAGAATCATTTTCTGGGTAAGAAAATACCCTTGATCAAGGGTAGCAGCCCACACATGACTTATGTCAATGACATTTACTTGAATGTTTTCAAAGTAAATATGGTATTTTCAATTTAAGGCTGGAAAACCAGGGAGCAGACATGGGGAGAGTCCTGCATCCTATTCTCTAATGGTTGCCGGGTTGGAGCGTAAAGTAATGAGAGGGATTATAGGAGGGGAGATTACCAAACACCAGGATCATAGCCCTGGCCTGGTGGCTCAGCTGGTTGGAGCGCTGTCCCATGCACCAAAAGGTCGAGGGTTCCATTCCGATCAGGGCACATGCCCAGCTTGCTGGTTCGATCCCTGCTCAGGGTGTGTAGGGGAGGCAACCGATTGATGCTTCTCTCTTTCTCTCTCTCTCCCTTCCTTTCTCTCTAAAAGTCAATACAAACATATCATCTGTGAGGATTAAAAAAAAAAAAAGGAGCATATACCTCAGTGGCAGAAGAAACCATTGAGAAAAATCCTGCACAGCCCTTCAAAACTGGGAGCTTTATGAATTCCTGTTCAAAGGGTGAGACTCTGATTTGGTAAATGAGTCTTATTCTAATGTCTAGTAATCCAAACTCTACTTTTGAAACCCCACAAGCCCGGCCGGGCATGGCTCAGCGGTTGAGCATCGACCTAGGATCCAGGCGATCGGGGTTCGATTCCCGGTCAGGGCACATGCCCGGGTTGCGGGCTCAATCAACAACTCTCTCATCATTGATGTTTCTATCTCTCTCTGTCCCTCTCCTTTCCTCTCTCTGAAATCAATAAAGATACATTAAAAAACAACAACAAAAAAAACGCACACAAGCAGCATAATTAAAAACTACTTAAATCCCAACCGTACAGCATGAAGTAGTTGAAATCACCCTGGAACATGAATCAGAAGCCCCAGGTTCTCACTTGAGAATGGCCATTCTTTATAGGGTGGCAAGTCAGTTTACCATTCTGCACCTGTTTCTTCATCTATAAAATGAAAATAATATGTTCACCTACCTCACTGAGTTTTTCTGAGAACCAAGTGAGATAATCTATGTAAAAATGCTTTGAGAATTATTAAGGTATATATAAAGTGGTGCTAATAACAGCAGCATCAGAGCCCATAAACTCCACTCCACATATTTATATTTGTGAGTAAACAATTAGAAACAGTGATTACTAATCAGAAACTACATTATGAAACAATTATTCTTTCCTTGCTTATCAAGCATGAAGGCAGTATAATCATTAATCGCATTGACCTTGAAGGCAGAAAGTACTGAATTCAAATCCCAACTCTGCCACCAGCAGTGTGATTTTGGGTAATATTTTAATTATTCTGGGTCATACACACACAGTGAGGATAACAGATTTTCCAATGAGATAATGCATGCAAAATGTTTGATATATTGCCTGGCACATAGCAAGTACTCAATAAACATTAGCTTTAAAAAGTATCAGACATTTCTTGAGCACTTGAAATGTGCCAGGCCTAACTTGGTAAACAACATGAAAAGACACTGTCCTGTTTCAAAGAGCCAACAATTTGGTGGGGAAACGCACATACAAACAAAAAAAACCCATGCCCACTGCTCAAATGCAAAGGCAGGTTAGAAAATGAACTTATAAATCTGCCTGGAAAGACAGGTAAATAGAAAACTTGGAGAAGGAAGCATTTGACTCAAGACTTTTGAAGGGTGAATAGAAGTTTGTATCCAAAAGGCTTGGTGCTTTTTACTTGGCTTTATCATTTGCCCACAGGGGCTTGATACCTTGAAAAGTCAAGGCTCATGTTTATGCTTGTTAGCTTTCTTGTGATTCAGCCTAAACATTCTGGTGAATTCATAAGCATGGTGTTGGGAATTCATTTTACTTGCTGTCTTCCATAAGTGAAACATCTGTTTTGTTTTCATTTCATAGACTCCTTAACAGCTGTATAAACAACTTCTTGCACAGGGTATAGACTGGTTCCCCCTACGTAAAAGTGTTGGCATCCTTGGTACATGTTGTTGATCCCATTAAGGAAAGAAGGCAGGGAGGACTTGTAACCACTTGTCTCTGGAGGAGCTGCAGTGACCAGGATAAATGGGTAAGGAATAAAAAGTGGAAGGCTCAAGGACTTGTTCTTCTGGAGAGAATGGGAAGTTTACAGATAGCTGTCCTTTGTCCAAATGCAAATGCGAAAATACAGGCAGCTTTGTATTGGCCAGATGCCTTAGTACCAAACTGAAGTGCCTTTCTCATTTCACCAAGTATTTTAGCAGAGAATTTGGGAGTGAGACATGTTGCCCTAAGTGGAAGAAATTTCACACCTTTCTTTGGGTTTTCTGCTTCCTAAATATTGGCTAAATCCCTCATCTGAATAACATATGGGAAGATGTTAAAAGCTGTGTTTATTCTGTATCTGTTTCTACACCAGTAACTGCGGTGTTAGAGAAATGTAATTGGCACTGAACAGAAATCATCTGTTACTTTATAAAAGTCATATAATCTTATGAATTTAGAGTTGGAAGAGCCTTAAAGAGCTTGTAGTTCATCCTCTCCATTTCACAAATGAGGAGACAGTGGCCCAGGGAGGCGAAGGGGGTTGTTCCATACAGAGTCCTCTTACCTGGCTTTTGTCAACATTTTGCATGAGGATGATTTTGAGAGACCGGACCCATAGTACTTTCCAATTGCAGGAGACATAAATGAATTGCATTTCTCCCCACATTGGCTGAGAAAGATACAGACCAAAGCAAAAGAAAACCCTGGTAAGCCCTAAGAAGGAGTGAAGCCAGCAACACTGAAGTTTCTGTATCGGCCCATGTAATTGGTGCTGAGCGAGAGTAAACCAGATTCCAATCCACTAAAATTTAGGGCACCTGGCCCGGAACTTTTAACTAAGAGTCTGTGGTCAACAACAACACAACAACAACAGCAGCACAGTCACCAAGACTGGGTAGTAAGTACCTTGACCCAAAGCCAAGAGACAGCAGGGCCGTGCCACAGAAAGTCCGCAGACGGGATGCTCCACCTCGACGTGCACGCTGGAAGGGGAGCCTCTGGATTCTGTGACAGGATGTCATGTCGTTAGGGGCGATCCCCTCCGGAGAAGCTGCAGCAGCTGGCAGGACGCGGAAAGGCCATCTTTGGCCCGCAGGAAGGCCATTTCCTTCAGATTCCTATTTGGAAGCCAGAGTGCATGGCAGCTGATAAGCCAGGCCGCAGATGAGCAGATAGGCACGAGCTCACCGCCCTTTCCTTCCTTCCCGCGGAGGGACGCCCTCCGCGCCGCTCGGACGGGCTGCGCCCCGCCGGGAGGGCCGGTCCCCCCCCCCAGGGTAGGGTCTCCGCCGCGCGTTTC